GCCCACCAAGAGTAGGATCTCTTTAAAGATATATTTTCGTATGTTATTTCATCATCTTTTTCCTATGATTTGTTAGCAATAATGGTAGCATCTTATACTGTTGCACTGGCAAGCAGCTGCATATATTTACAACAGGTCTTACCATGAATGTTTTTCTGCTGATTGTATCACTGCGTTTATTTTCGTTCGTTTTAGTTTCAATCTGTCGTTTCACTGTTGTTCATACGATCAAATCAACTATACGATCATTTCCAATTATTCATCAGCTACATTTCGTATCTCTGATTTTTTATGGTAGCCTTTCGTGTTCGTTTAAACTGTAGCTTTAGTCCTGGTAACCTAATTGCTGTTGGCGTGTAGTTGTGCTCTGACAATTAAATCCCTTCTGAAAGTGACGGTAGTACCTATTGAGGTAAGTTGTATATTAACCACAGTAGTTTAAAGTTGAACAAAGCATTGATGTAAAACTGAACTTTCTAAATAATTCATTGAAAAAAAGATATATTTTAATTTACGGTTAAAATAAATAAAAGCGGATTGACGACTACGCGACCGATGTCCAATCCTGAGCAGAATTTGCAGTTTTCCTGCACTTTATGATAAACCATTTGCAGAAAACGCTGAGCGTGGCTGATACCAGTCAATCTCATTTGGATAGTGGGACTATTACAAGTGTCACTGTGCGCTAACATCAAATTTATTTTAACGTATAACAGAGAGAAAAACAAATTACCGAGGCTTTGCAAATCTAGCAGCAGAAATTGCATGACTTCGCCAATCACACATCTCTTTCTGTCTATTCATTTTGTTGCTTGTTTGCTCCGATATCATTTTCTTTTTTCTCGAGTTTCCGCATTCGAGCTACCTTGCTGTATTGCCATTCTGTTTCTACCAGCTGTAAGTCATCATCGTTCGTTCGTTCTGTTTATTAAAATTTGCCCTATTATACCTTTATCTTCCAGTTTTCCCGATTAAATATCACGAAAATGGCTACCGATGCGATCCACTTCCCCAGCTGTATCTTTATCTGGTATGGTTCCTAACTTAAGCGGAAGACAATCTAGCTCATGATGGTAACGGCATATGTACGTACTCCAACGCCATCTGTTTACGAACGGTTGCATTCTTTGGTCAAAAAATGGCTGTTGTCAAAGTTAACAGAGACGTACTCAGTTAGGTATTGATTTATTCTGTTCACCTATGAGCTACCATTCTGATAACTCGAAAATTATAGGTTCCGGACAATTATTTTCTCTTAACTCGGATACCTATTTTATATTCTGCTCATTTAATTTAGAGGAGTCCGGGCACATTCCTTAAGTAATTAGTTCGCGCCAATTAAGGTCACAGTTACAGGTTCCGGAGCTAGAGTTAATGCATCTACCAGTGTAGGCTGGTTTCTTATAACCAGCCATTTTTAAGGCATCTCGCCTTATGCTGTAAGACCTGCAGAAATGGAAACAGACCATTTTAACTATCTCGTAGGTGAACTCGAACTTCTCGTGGAAGTTGTTCAAGTATTCCGGGAAGTCGTTGATATAAACAATGATATTTCACGTCACATCAAATGCTAGAAACGGAGCTGCTTCGTTCGTTTTCTGTTAATTAATCAATAAATTATTAAACGAGCAGAGCACATCCACAATTTGCAATTTATACCAGTAGCACGCTAGAAACGAGTTTTGTAAAATTTATAAACCACGACTAATCTGGCTGCAAGCAGCTCAAAAATAGCACGGCAATCATTTCCCGACGAAAAAGGATAAAATTTCGCTATGGATACCTTTCAACATAAATCCAACATAGAATGAGTCCGCTTCTCAATGTGCCACTTAGTGCAATTGAAATTTAAACTTGTTTGTAACTCGCGCGTAAGCAATACCACAACCATTTTGGCAAAGACAAAAATTATTTTATTATAAGAAACTATCAAACAACTTACAGTAGCTGTAACCGGATTTACGTGGGCAAAA